ACTACTGGATTTCGTTATGTTCCATTTTAATGTAGATGTTGGAATGATATAATTTGCACATTTTGTGAAGCTATTCTTAAACCTTACAAATGGAGCTAAAAGTTTTTCTCTTTTGTCCTTTTTTTTCTGATTATATATATACACACACGTTATTTGATACACCAACATTAGTAATTTTCAATTCAGTAAACTGAAGTAAACAATTTAACCGTAAATCTGAAATTAATAAACTTTGTAGTTATTGTTGATGGTCATCGGATTTGGTAACGATGTAGGGTGCTTTGACATATTGATGGTGATGATAAATTGATCGATCGGTTGATCACGGTTCATCTCTTCTAATGGAGTGGACGGCCACATTCCGACGACGAAGAATGAAGACAAGGAGAGAATCGAAAGAAAAAGTCCCATTAGCTCTTTGATCCTTTTTTTTTTGCAAGAGTTATATTTTCTCTCTAGTTCCAATTAAGCCTCTATATTCAATGAATGAGACAAGTGATAATATTATAAATTTAACCACGACAAAAGCAACTGAATTTATTCAAGAGAAAACACTCTTTGTTTTAGATACATGGGAGAGTAGTTTAGTCTTAATAAGCCCTGGACGCGAGCTCTTAACAATTATTTATTAAAAACAAAGTATAAGTAGATATTTATACGCAACTTGCAAAGTATTATCTATTTTAACTCTGAAATCTTTCTCGGTTACTCATCGCAGTCAAGGTTTAGGTAAATTATCAAAATGGCAATGTCTGCCGGGGTCACAGACCAGGGTACCAGGTTGTTCTGCAAAATTAAAACCCCATGTTATAGATAGTTAAAGTCATATAAATATCTATTAGCACAAACAATTGTTACATGCGTTGACGTTACTTACGCTTGGATACTGGCCGATCCATGCTGATGGGAGTGGAGACGAAGAGGGTGGAAGCGAGGAGAATGCAGAAGAATATCACAAATAAAGATTTCATTTTGAATAATATTATCACTAATTGCTTTGTAGGTCAATATTTCAAGTACAATGAAAACCACACTACTTTTCAGATATAATTGAGACCATATATTTCACGAGTAACTCTTCTGTATTGATAGTGGGAGGAGTGAAGAAATTTCAATGGCAGACAAAAATGAATGCATGACCCATTTTTCTACAAAAAGTTGATCAAGTAAACCCAAAGTATAATTGCGGTCTCTTTGGTTTATCACAATCATGATGTGAATAATTCTGTGTAAAAATTATGTATTTAGTACATGTTTCGTTTCCTACGTATTGATGGTACCTTAAAGAAGAATTAGTACAAAATTATAACTAGAAATCAGTAAAATAAGTAAAAATTCAAGTAAAATAATACCTACTCAAAATAAGAAATATATATTTATTTTATTTGTTCAAAATAAGCCATGACATGACGTAGTATTAGAAAAATAATAATAAGTATGTGTTTGGACACCATAATATAATTGAATGAAAATATAATAATTATTTGGATAATTACAATTGAGTGTAATTATTAGGAATTTTAATTCTCTAGACATTAAATCGATAAATTGTAATTACATGTTAATTCTTCTTGTCATGCTTGATGTAATAAATTATAATTACACAATTATAAAAGTAAAATTTAAAATAATATTAATTATAAACTTGAAGAGTTTAATTACACACATAATTATACTAATTCTCATCCCTCCCCTAAGAATTAAAGAATGTAATTGGAGATCTTTAATTATACTCAATTCAACGGAATCCACAAATTATAATAACTATCCAAACACACTACAATTGTGTAATTAGGCTAAAATCCAATTATAATTTTTCAAATGTGCCCTAGTTGATTATATAAGGAGTGGTAAAGTGTGTGTAATGTAAAATTAGGGTAAAATACATAAATGGTCTCTTGACTATAAGGTGTTACTTTGTTGACTCTCTAGACTATTCCAAGTTACAAAGTATTCCCTCTATTATAGGACGCTATTTTATTGAGTCCTCTAACTATTAAAAGTTATAAAATGGTCACCTGCCTATTCATATGTTCCAAGCTTCTCTTTTTTTGTTAAAAAATTGAAAGTCGTCTGAGTTGGACGTTAATCTAATGATTGAGATATGCTAAAATCATTTTTAATGATGTTTATTGGCAACGCTGTTGGTTTCAAAGCATAGGCTCGACGATATAGTGTTTAAAACACTGGATCGACGTCATAATGTAAAAAAGACTATATCCAAAAAATACATATCAAATAATACTAGGATAAGATTTTATCATATCCAATGAACATGTTAATGTCCATCTCAAACAGACTCCAATTTTTCAAAAGAAAAAGACGAGTCTAGAACATATGAATAGTCATGTGACTATTTTGTAACTTTTAATAGTCAGGGACTCAACAAAGCAACGCCTTATAGTTAAAGGACCACTTTGTAACTTTCAATAATCAGGAACTCAACAAAGCAATACCGCATAATTAGGGGACCATTTGTGTACTTTACCCATATGTATTAGTCGCATGTTATATTCTCATGTAATGTTTTTAGTTGTTCTTGTTAAAGGATATTATTTTGTATCCGTATAAAAAATAAATACTCATATAATAATATTAGGGTAAATCACTTGAATAATTACTCAACTTTCAGGATGCTAATGTTCTGGTCATCCGAAATAAAATGTAAGTAAACTATTTAAACATTGGCTGAATTATAAAAAGGAAATGAAATTATTAAAGAGGAAGCAGTGTTTGTTTTAGATACATGGGAGAGTAGTTAAGTCTTAAAGAAGCCACGGACGAGAGCTCTTAACTGCAACTTGTAAGGCATTAACGTTTGAAATCTCTCAGTTCCCCATGACATTCAAGGTTTAGGTAAAGATCGATAGCAAGGAGGGGGGTGGCTACAGTACACGACAGGAGGTTGGGCTTCTGCAAAATTAACACAAACAACTCAACTTCTTTTCTATTGCTTATTTATAAAACTAACGAGAAACCACTACAAAAGTGCTGAAGTTACTTACTCTCCAATTGTCGAGCCATGCTGAAAGTGGAGACGAAGAGGGTGTAAGCGAGGAGAATGCATAATAATATCACAAATAAAGATTTCATTTGGAATAATATTATCACTAATCACTTTGTAGGCCAATATATAGGCCAATGTTTCGAGTAAAATGAAAACCATACTACTTTTCGAAGATAATCGACAGAGGGAGGAGTGAAGAAATTTCCATGGCAGACAATGAATCCATGACCCAATTTTGTACAAAAAGATGACCAAGTAAACCATAATATCAAGGTTGAATTTTGTGGATTTTCCGTGTTGGTTTTCTGACTGAGAATACAATGTTGAACTTTTGGGTGTGGAAATTTCTGTGTTCAATCTTCCAAACCGTGTTTAGAATTCTGATAAAAAGCCACCATGTTGAAATCTGGTTTCAATTTTATTTGGAATCAAATCATTTTTTATTTTTTTATAATTTTAATTTATAGTTCGAAAATTTAAAAAGTTGACATATATTTGAAATTTAAAAAATAGTTAGAATATTAAAAAATAAATATATTTTTCTGAATTTTATTATTATTTTTTCCTCGTAATTCTTTACTTTTCCCGTTATGAAAATGTTGTTTTTTTTACAATATATCATAATATTAAAACATTACTTCCTTCATAAATTAAGTACAAACAAAATGATTTAAATAACTAAAAGGATGATCATTATCTTTAGAGATGCTAAGTTCGAGTACCGACGTTTATAGAATATTTAAATATTAAATTTTAAGAGTTCATTATCAAATGATTAAGAGTTTTTACTTTTTAGTCAATGAATAGGTAAAGCTGCTCGTTATTCTCTAGTGGACTGGATTTGGACCGCGCCTTTGCTTTTGAGACCGTGAAATTGTATTTACGATTGATCGTTTGTCTCGGAAATTTCATCGGTGCTTTGATCTTCCAGTGAAATTAGAAATGTTAACTTCTGATTTTTAAAAAAAAAATATTGGTGGTATTCGTTCTTAGTCTAAATGTAGGGTTGTGGTTAATAACAGATCTATAAATTTTTTTAAGATAGTCGTACAAATATTTAAAATATAAAATTTTTGTATGCAAACGAATACTTTATAATTTTAGGGTTAGCCTAATAAAAATTGAAAATAAATAAAATGAATAATTAAACGAAAAATTTGAAATTTATAAAAAGATTTATATTTTAGAAAATCACTGGTGGGCACTTGCCCACCCTTAAGGCAATGTACATCCACCACTGATATGTTTTTCACAGGATCAAAGTCAAAGAATGCCATTTTTAGAAATTTGTAAAGTCAACTCCTTGCAAATCCACGTCAGTCGGTTAGGGCAGGATGCACTAAGCCCAGGATCAAGTACATCTTCTTATTTCGGAAAAAAATGAAATTTAATTTAATATGTTAAGGAAAAATAAAAAAAAAATAATTTTTTTTGTATATCTATTACTTTTATAAAAAAATATTAAATTTTCGAATCATATTTTTTAATTTCTAGATTCACGATGGCAGTCGATAATACTATACCCTTCTAGATAAAAAATTATTTGATGGATTAGATTTAAAAAAAATCAATCTAGTGTGTATATAAAACTGGTGCCTTCCTTGGTGGCTTGACTCAACCACCCAAAATCAAATGGGGAACACTTTCTTCAACTTAACTCTTCTTGTCATCTTCTTCCATTTTTCTCTGCCTACTTTCTCCATGAACCTAACCACCATTCTTACAGACCAGTCGGCCCTTCTCGCATTCAATTACCATCTTTCTTTAATATTAATTTGTTGAGAAGTAAAATTAAGTTTTTAATCAAAAATATTTAGCATTATGTTGGAAATGAGATGAATTCAACCTTCCATCGTTTTAATTAATTCGAGATAAATACAAAGTAAATACATTATATTTAAAGATAACTTCCCATCATTTAATATCAAATCCTTAGTATTTTCTCACGTGAACAAAAACAACCTTCAAAGTGCTTTAAGAAAGGAAGAGGAAAATGGATAAACTCAAAAGAAGGTAGGTAGTAAAGAAGAGAATTGAGAGGGTCGAGCCGACAGGAGCCGACAAAAGGAAACGTGGGACCCAGATAATGCGATATAGGTCATAGGATGAAGAAGATAGGTTGTTGTTTTAGATCTTTTGAATTATTATTTTTTTCCTCGTAATTCTTTACTTTTTCCGTGATGAAAATGTTATTTTTTTTATCATATATCACAATCTTAAAACATTATATCATTCATAAATTAAGTACGAACAAAATGATATCAATAATTAAAAGGATTATTATTATTATTATTTCTAGATGTGTTAAGTTCGAGCATTGACGACTATAAAATATTTAAGTCTTAAATTTTAAGAATTTATTATTAAATAATCGAGAGTTTTTACTTTTGAGTCGATGAATAGGTAAAGCTGCTAGGTATTCTCTAGTAGTTTGGATTTGGATCGCGTCTTTGCTTTTGAGACCGTGGAATTGTATTTACGATTGATTGTTTATCTCGGAAATTTCATCGATGCTTTGATATTCCAGTGAAATTGGAAATGTTAAAGTCTGATTTTTTTTTTAAAAAGCTTGGTGGTAGTCGTTCTTAGTTTAAATGTAGGGTTGTGGTAAGTAACAGATTTAATTTTTTTTAAGATAGACACATATATTTAGGCTTGTCAAAGGTTATGGTAGGAAGACTATCTCACCTAGGTGCTCTTTGAAAATTGATATTCACAAGGCATTTGATTCTCTGCATTGGGGATTTGTTTTGGTTGTTGTTAATGCTATTGGCCTTCCTCCTACTTTCATCAAGTGGGTTGAAGCTTGTTTCACAGGAGCTCGGTACTCTATCTCGTTCAATGGAAGTCTCATAGGATATTTCAAAGGGCCAAAGGCTTACGACAAGGTGATTCAATCTCACCCCTGCTGTTCGTACTGTCTATGAACATGTTATCCAAAATTCTCAACAAGGCTGCTCTTCGAGGTATATTCGGATTTCACCCTAGATGCAAAAAAATTGGTTTAACTCACCTCACTTTTGCCGATGATCTACTTATTTTTTGTAAGGGGAATATTGAATATGTTGTGGGAATTATTAGGGTTTTGGAACACTTTTATGTTGTTTCTGGCCTTAAAATCAATGCACAAAAATGTGAATTCTATATTGCTGGAATATCCCCTAGGCAAATTGAGGAAATCAAGCGTATTACTGGGTTCAATCAAGGCTATTTACCAGTTAGATACTTGGGAGTTCCTCTAGTTTCTAGGAAACTCTCGGACAAAGATTGTGTTGCTCTCATCGATAATATCAGGGAACGTCTTCATCAATGGTCACGAAGACACTTGAGCTATGCTGGTAGATTAGAGCTTATCAAAACTGTCCTGCTTAGCCTCACAAATTTTTGGTATAGGCAGTTAATCCTACCCCAATCTGTCCTTCACAGAATTGAGCAACTATGTTCAAGGTTCTTTTGGAAAGGTTCGGACAAGGCAACTTCGGGTGCAAGAGTGAACTAGGAGAAACTCTGCCTACTTAAATCAGAAGAGGGTTTAGGACTTAAAGACATAAAGTCCTGGAACAAGGCATGTATGATCCATTTGATTAGGAAGGTGCTTGTGGGTGAAGGTTCATTATGGATAGCCTGGATTAGGAGTTATATTATGAAAAATTCAGATTTCTGGAATCTGGAAATTGGTCTTAACATGAGCTGGAGTCTCCGATGTTTGCTTAAAATGAGGTCTCAAGCTTCGACTGTTCTTTCAACGGGAGCTATTACCATAAAGGACTGTTGGCTTCAAATCAGAAACAGTGAGGATAAAATAAATTGGCACAAGTTAATTTGGTTCTCTCTCCATATCCCTAAGTTTAGCATTATAACTTGGATGGCTTTGTTAAATAGACTTCCAACTGAAGATAGATTGATTGGAATGGGAATTCAGATTGATAATCAATGTGTACTTTGCAATGACTCTTTGGAATCTAGGGATCACTTATTTCTTCATTGTCCTTTGTCTAGCTCAATATGGGATACGATTTTGCACCTAAATGGCATTCGAAGAAGACCATGCTCTTGGTATGATCACATATCTTGGGCTTGTGCTACATGGAAAGGTAAATCCCTACTCGTTACTATCATGAAGCTTGCTTGGACTTCTTTTACTTATACTATATGGGAAGAGAGGAACAAAAGGTTATTTGCAGGTTGCTCAAGATCTTTTGAAGCTTTGTTCCATGCCATTCAAGATACAGTGGCTATAAAATTACGGGGTAGAAGCATTAATAGGAAGAATAGTGTTAATATCTCACTTTGTAATCAATGGGGTATAGTTTATTGAAGTTGTTTTGTTGTAAATATTGATTGTAAGTTCTTGATACTTTTGTAAGAACTTGCTGTTTTTTGTAGCAGTTAACTGCTCTTTGGATAATAAAAATGATTTATCCAAAAAAATGAATAATTAAACGAAAAAATTAAAAACTTATAAAAAAAGATTTATATTTTAGAAAATTCCTGCTCCCACCCTTAAGGCCATGTACATCCACCACTTAAATGTTTTTCCGAGCATCAAAGTCAAATAATGCCATTTTAGAAACTTGTAAAGTCAACTCCTTGCAAATCCAAATCAGTCGGTTAGGGGCGGATGCACTAATTCCTAGGGATAAAGTGCATCCCCTATTTTAAAAAAATAAAATTTAAATTAATATGTTAAGAGAAAATAAAAAAATTATATATCAATTATTTTTACGAAAGGAATATTAAATTTTCGAATCCTATTTTTAAATTTTTGAATTCGTAATTACATTCGACAATACCAGACGTTTCTAGAGGAAAAATTATTTGACGGATATGATTTAAACAAAAAAAAATCAATAATTAGTGCGGCAATGCATGGGTCCACTCTAGTGTGTATAAAGAACGAGTTATCTAGATATCAAACTGGTGCCTTCCTTGGTGGACTCAGCCACCCAAAATCAAATGGGGAACACTTTCTTCAACTTAACTCTTATCATCTTCTTCCATTTTTTTCTGCCTACTTTCTCCATGAACTTAACCACCATTCTTACCGACCAGTCGGCCCTTCTCGCATTCAAAGACAATGTTATCCACGATCCTCAAAATGTGTTGGCAACCAATTGGTCATCTTCTTCCCCTGTTTGCAATTGGTTTGGTGTCATCTGCGGATCCAACCACCTCAGAGTCACAGCTCTAAACCTTACTGGGTTGGGACTTGTAGGCACCCTCCCACCCCACTTAGGAAATCTATCATTCCTTTCTCTTCTTTCCATCACAGAAAACAGTTTTCATGGCAGATTACCAGTCCAGTTATCAAATCTGCACCGGCTGAAACATATAGACTTCGGCAACAACAGCTTCAGTGGAGAAATCCCATCGTGGTTAGGATCATTAACTGAGCTTCGGGTGTTGCGTCTGTACTATAACAACTTCAATGGTGTTATCCCATTCTCTTTAGGCTATTTGCCAAAGGTAGAGGAGTTGAGCTTGTATGGGAACCAGCTTTCGGGTTCAATACCATCCTCCATCTTCAATATATCTTCGGTGCAAATTATTGATCTAGGGACTAATATGTTCACCGGTTCCATACCCTTTGTTCCAATCGATTTGCCTTGGCTTGAACTCCTCAATTTCAACTTCAATAATCTCACTGGCCATTTTCCAGACGATATGTTCGATCGTCTTCCGAATTTGAAAGAATTTTCGTCGAGTGCTAATAGGCTTTCTGGTAGAATTCCAAGCAGTTTATTCAAGTGCAGAAAGTTACAATTACTGTCCTTGTCAACTAACCAATTGGAGGGGGGTCTACCAGTTGAAATTGGGAATTTAAGCATGCTTCAATTCTTCTTTATTGGTGATAACAACTTTGAAGGTAATGTACACTCATACTTCATTTTACTTTTTGGTCATCTAATGTTAAAAATACACAAAACCGTTGACGCATCAATTTTTTTTAATGATGATGTGACATTATTTTATTATGACACATCAATATTACCATTTATTTTTAACGGCGGGTGGCCAAAATGAAACAAAAACGTAGCGTTAGTTATGATTTTGAAAAAAATAGTTGAGTGACTAAAACGAAATTATAAGAATAGGCGGGTGACTAAATAGGTAGTTTAGCCTAATAAAAAAGGTTTGTAATTTGATTTGCGATTGTTTTTTTAATTTCAGGTGGAATTCTAGAAAAGATTGTGAATCTGACTCTTCTCAAAATGATCGATTGTTCTCGTAACAACTTCACAGGTATAAATGGGTAAAAAATACTTTCCATTTTTTCTCTTAATTTATATTTTTTAATACATATATACAGGTAAAATTCTAATTCTACGATGTTCGACGAGCACTGCTGAACATCATTAATTTAATTTATAAACTTTAAAATTTTAAAGGACTCAATGTGTGATTATAAATAAGTTAAAAATTTAAAGTTAAATTATTTAAAATAAAATATTAATTACATTATTTTTCATAATTTTCAAATAATTTTTAAAGGTAAATTATATTTTTTATTGTTAAAAAAATTATGAAAAATAATGTAATATTAATATTTTATTTTAAATAATTTACCTTTAAATTTTAACTAATTTATAATTATACGTTGAGTCTTGTATAATTTTAAATTTTTATAAATTAAATTAATGATGCTCAACAATACTCATCGTTAATGGTGCTTAGAGGTGCTCGTCGAGCACGACAAACCCATCCTATATATATAGACTAAACTTTTATTCGTGTTTTGATAAATTCATAATCATAACAGATAGTATAGTTCTTTTATTCTAAATTCTATCTATTTGTAGTTATGTATTTGTTTGATAAAATTTATGTCAGGTACAATACCAGAGCAGATTGGCAACCTAAAGAATCTGGAATTTTTTAGTGCGGGAGATAATAATTTTGTTGGTCAAATTCCTCCCGTTATATTTAATATGTCGACTCTGTCTACCATTTCTTTTGAAAGTAATCAGCTCTCGGGCAGTCTTCCATCAAACACGGGGCTTTGGCTTCCCAACCTGGAGGAGTTATATCTTGCAAATAATCGACTCGTTGGTCCATTCCCAATGTCCATTTCCAATGCCTCTCAGCTTACTACTCTCGACATTTCTCATAATTTCTTTTCAGGGTCCATCCCCGACACTCTTGACAATCTGAGAAATTTGAAGAGACTCAACTTGGATGTTAATAATCTCACTTCTTCAAGATTGAGCTTTCTTTCTTCTTTGACAAATTGTAGAGGCTTGGAAGTCTTGGACTTCAGCGACAACGTATTGATCAGTGGTGAACTTCCAGGTTTGGTCGGAAATCTCTCGGATTCTCTTCAGAGATTCTCTGCTTCAAAGTGCAACATCAGCGGCAGCATCCCGAGTGGATTTGGCAACTTGAGTCGCTTGATAGACAAAAAGCTTGATGGCAGTAAATTGACAGGATTGATTCCTACTGCAATTGGAGGATTAAAAGAGCTGCAAAGTCTTTCTCTTGGGGACAATCAGTTAGAAGGACCGATCCCCTCTGAGTTATGTCAGCTAAACAAGTTGGGATTCTTGGTCTTGTCGATCAACAAAATGTCTGGACCGATACCTGCTTGCTTGGGTAATCTCATTTCTTTGAGGCAACTACTCCTTGGCTCTAATATGTTTTCTTCTTCAATACCTTCAACCTTGACAGGGCTTACTAATCTCCTGATCCTGAACTTGTCTTCAAATTCTCTCACTGGTCCTCTTCCAATTGATATTGGAAACTGGAAAGTTGTGAATATCATGGATTTGTCGAACAATCAGTTCTCAAGTGATATCCCTATTGGAGTGGCAGAACTCGATGACCTCACTTATTTTTCCTTATCCGATAATAGAATCACAGGTTCTATTCCTGATTCATTTGGTGAATTGTGGGGCTTGGAATCCTTAGATTTGTCGATAAATATTCTATCCGGAGAGATTCCCAAGTCCTTGGAGAAACTCCGTTTTCTCAAATATTTCAATGTCTCTTTCAATAGACTTCAAGGAGAAATTCCTGGTGGAGGAAAGTTCGGAAACTACTCGATCGAATCATTTAAGGGGAATGGAGCATTGTGTGGTGCAGCCCGACTTCATGTTCCAAGCTGCATAACTACACCTCTTAGAAATAACAAGGCAAGAAGTAAGCTCATAAGATATGTAGCTGTAGCACTGTCGATTGCCTCTACAATTTTGGTGGTGGCTCTAATTGTCATTGTCTTCCGAACTAGGAAGAAGAAAGAAACATTGCAAACTCAAGAAGACTTGCTACCTTTAGGAAAGTGGAGACGATTTTTATATCGAGAGCTTCATCAAGCTACTAATGGATTCAATGATAGCAGATTGCTTGGTAGCGGGAGCTATGGTTCAGTATATAAAGGGACTCTCCCAGATGGAATGACATTTGCTGTAAAAGTCTTCAAGTTAGAGCTAAAAGGAGCCTCCAAGAGCTATGACGTTGAATGTGAAGTTCTTCACAACATCCGTCACCGGAACTTAACCAAAATCATCGGACAGTGCTCTACTATTCATGATTTCAGAGCCTTGGTACTTGAGTTTATGCCTAATGGGAGCCTTGATAAATGGTTGTATTCCAACAATCATTTTCTGGATATCCAACAAAAGCTGAACATACTGATAGATGTTGCATCTGCTCTGGAATATCTTCATCATGGTCTTAAAACACCAGTTGTTCATAGCGATTTAAAGCCCAGCAATGTTCTATTAGATGAAGATATGGTTGCACATTTGAGTGATTTCGGAATCGCAAAACTCTTATGTGAAGAGAATTCAATGATCCAAACCGTGACCCTTGCAACCATTGGATATATGGCACCAGGTGAGGCCTCTTCTTTTCTTTAGATAATTTATAACGTATCTTTTATTGAATACTGATCAAATCTTTTATAAACGCATATACAGAGTATGGATCAGAAGGAATTGTTTCAATAAAAGGTGATGTGTATAGTTTTGGTATTCTTATGATGGAAATGATCATGAGAAAGAAGCCAACGGATGAAATGTTTTCCGAAGAAATGAGCTTGAGGAGTTTCGTGAAAGAGACGTTACCATATATGCTGAACCAAGTTGGAGACACAAATTCTGTAAGCATTACGAGGAGGACACATTTATCAGCCAACAATTGTGCATTTTTGATTTTGCAAGTAGCCTTAGAATGTTCAGTAGAGATACCATATGATAGGCTTGATATGCAAGAAGTTGTGAGAAAGCTAGAAGAGATCAGAGTCGAGTTATTGACAGATGGAATGAGTTTGATGAGAAGGCATTTGTTATTTTAACTACAAAATACAAGTACCATATGTTAGTCATTTTTAGGGTCTTTCTTGTTTTGAAGCAAAGTATTTGATAAGTATTTTATGGTCATACTAATATCTAATCTAATATTCATCTCATGTATTTTCTGCAACATTTGTTTAATATCAAAAACTAGAGAAACACTTCTAAAGAATCAGTTTCCAAAATGACATTCTCATATTTACTGTTTTCTGCTAGAATCACCCCCTGTTCAGCTGCTTTAATCTCATCCATTAGAATTTATTGAGGGGTTTTGATGGTAAAATAAAATATTGTTCTCCTTAGAAGTCCTAGATTCGAGCAGCTGCTTCTGTAGGGTCTCTGCGCTGTCAATAGGCTAAGAAAAACTCTAAACGGATACTACAAACTGATGAATGTCGTTTTTCACGTAAAATAAATTTCTTCTTATAAAAAAATAAGGAAATTAAATATAGTATAGGAGAAGTAAGGGTCGATCCCACAGAGACTAAAGAGATAGATGAAATTCTTTGTTATAGACTTTGGACCTTGGCGTGTAATGGAGTGGAAAGAAATGAAATGGGGGGATTGTGTAGTTGGAAAATAAAATAAGTAAAAAGTAAAGAATCGTAAAGAAAAATTAAGAGGAAAATAGGTTTAAAGAAAGTAAAGAAAGTGAAAAGAAAAATAGAACATGGAACCTTAATTGAAAAAAATCAGCTTTTACGTTACTTCTGACTCAACTTCTTCGGATCATCGAACGAGATTTATCCTTTGGGATTTACTCGGTTACTTTGTTTACAAAGACAAATCCCTTCGACTACCTTTGTATACCGAATACCCAAGCGCAATTCTTTGATCTAGGCGTTGGAAATTGATCTAGACAACAACAGTGTTGTAGACCATAATCGTTTAAGTGCATAAAAACTGACATTGATGGTTGTTTTAATTAAAACCATTTCTGACCTCAATCCCCTCTTTAGCAACAATTTGCTAATTGTGTTCCAGGAAGTCAAATGTGCTATCAATTAGACGATCCTTCCTCCCACATGTTTAATCGCAACAACATTTCGACCATCGACTATCTTCACTTTTGAAAATTGTTTTGATTTGAAATAAGCGCAGAGAAGTGAGAAATGTATCCGAAGTTACTTTAGCGCTATTCAATTCTCACGTTAGAATTGAATCATCGCTTTTGCCCATCGGCTTAGAAGAAAATTAGTTAAGCATGACAAGAGTCATACTTAGTTTTTTTTTTAATGAGAACTTAAAAGAAATGAACAAAGTAAAGCTAAAGAATATTTATAAAAAAAGAAGAAAAACAAAGAACAAGAGAAGAAATGTGTTCGATAATTCTGAAAAAAAAAACGATGAAATAGGCTTACCCTAGAAGGGTATTTGTAGCCTTCTAAAACCCTAAATTGTGCTGAAAATTACAAAAGATAAATCCTAAAAATAGTTTGAACTAAATCCAAAAGATGATTCTAAAATCTTGAATTTTAAATTGCTTGAAATGCTCCAACCGTCCATCCACCTTATAAAATTGTTGACCGGAGAATGCTAACTGGACCTTCTAAAAGCTACTAACTCACTGCTACATCAACATTTCATGTCCAATTTTATGCCCACTATTCCAGCCTCCATTCCAGAACAAAAAGTGCAGTTTTGAAGCCTTTTAAGCACATTTTCCAGCCATGATCGTCCTATACAAAAAAGCATATAAAATCATCTAATTCAGCAGTCACAAACTTACGGGTAACTTTAACAAGAACTCACAATTTCATATTATCTAGGATGGTTACAGGGTTATTGAGACTTCATTAGAATGTGAAGCGATGACTTAATGACAGTGTGTAGAATTGGTGGTAATGGATCATGGGTCTATAACATATATGCCCTGAATATGATAAGTAAAAAATTGTAAAATAGAAAGAGAAGCACTAAAATGGGACTAAAGGCCTTTATTTCAAGGGCCAGGCCTATATCATAACGAATTTCTAGAGCTTATCGCTGTGCGATTGAGGTATCACACTACAACTACCAAACAAAGTAGCATTGAAAACACAAACAATTCATATCTTAGGGGATCTCCATATATAGTTTCGCCAATGGATCCTATAGCTTTGCTTCCCTACAACATTCAAGGTCGAGAATACGATGGCAATCTGGATTATTTTCGGGACAACTACAAACGTCAGGTTCACTACATTCCTCACCTGTAAAATTAATAGCCCTATAATTCGCATGTTATATTTAATTGAAACTGCCGTGCTAGAGCGATGGTGAAAGTGGAGATGAAAATACTGCAAGCCAGGAGAATGCATAGTATCACAAATGCTGCTTTCATTTTGGATATATTTATTTCTTGCTCCTTTGGGTTCAGCCTCTTCATTGCTATTTGTAGACCAATGGTTCAAACAAATTTTATTATTCAAATTTATAGGAAAAAAAGAGCACCAAAATTGACAAAGGAAGGACTGAAGAAGTTTCAATGGCAGAACTAGGTACTATTTCATTAGTTTATATTCTCCCTTGGGAAAATTAGAATCAGTGGAGTGAAAAAATTCCAAAATTCAAACCAAAGGAAGCTCAAATTTCCAATCAAACAGTAACTAATTAATAACATGTCTTTATACAAAAAATTATAGTGATGTATGTCAGTAGTAAAGTAATATCAAAGTCCATGTACCTGAGTTGACTCGCCAATCCAGAAAAACAACCAAGAATTTAAAAATGTGCTCTTTCCTTAATCCTTACCTTAAAGTTTGTTTCATAGACTCTCTTTTAATTTAACTGGCAAATCCCTTGACCTTCAACAATGGTGAAGCGTCATCACAATCAAAGACAAGCACGTATAGGTCCTCGATTTTTTTTTAATAAAGAGAATGATTTTTTTTCTTCCTGATTTGTGAAGAGGCAATCGCCTAACTAGCAGTACACAGCTCTAGTATGCAGGGCCTTGGATGTCTCTTGTAACCAGCTGCTGAACTTCATCAGTGGCGGTTGGAATGTGCAACATGTAATCATTGGGAGAATCGAGCTTGGTCATTCATTCGGCGCCCATATTTTCCTCACAGGG